GTTTCTGTCACCTTGTCGCACAGTTCACTTTTTCCAGTATGTGTAAACAACTGTATAGATACTTCTTGCACCTCTACACATCATGTCAGCAGCCAAAAATGGCACAACATATGCAAATTATGAAAGGGTAAATTCACCCTCCATATTCTTGGGCCAACCATACTGCTGTACATGATCCATTAAGGACCCTGTAAATGTTCTCATCAATGGGATAGTTTCCCACCTTTGCAGCAACCGCCTCATTCTGTGAGTGTCCCTCAGCTTCCAGGCCACAATCAAGGCACCAACCTTTTTTGAACCAGCCGCCACCAGCTGAGCCACCAGGTATAGGAGGTGTCCAATCAGGATCCTCAGATTTGGTAACAAATGGCAATAACATATTGTGTATGCTTCATTGTTTGCAGAAGCCTATATATGCACAATTCACTTTCATCCACTATAAACAACATGAAAACATACTTATGAGTCAAGAAGCTGCATCATGCTTCTCCTTTGGTGTTCCATATAGAAACTTCTTCATCTCTGCAGGAGTGCACACTAATTTGTACTGACCAGCGCACCCAGCACTGGAAGAAACATTTGCTTCAAGACCAGAGCTTGAAGGAGCAGAACTGCAACCTTCACTTTGTGGAGCAACTTCTGGAGGAGCACGTGCTGTCTTAGGACTGGAGATTGCAGCACTTGGATCACCTGCTGTGGGTTCTGAAATGTCAATACCTTCTTTTTCCAGCTTGGTGGCAAATGACGTCAAAAAAGCCAAATATCTCATCCACAGGTGGTTCAGGGTTCTCAGGTACCTGAGTTCCAAGTCAAGCACCAAAAAAAAGAACAACTTTGCTGAATCAAACTAGGCTTTATACAAAGGTTCATCCCAGTTACATGTTTTTCCACAGTTGTAGCTGCTGACTTGTCTACAAAGGCATCACTGGCTTCTGCCTTTGCCTTGGCTGTGCTGTTGGGTATGGTGGAGCTTTGATAAGGTTACCAGACATAAACCTTTTGGAAAATACACAAGCAAACACATTGCTCACTACACTATGCCAGTGGGCTGCTGGTTCACACTTGGGCTTAGGAAGCCGCTGCCTTTTTCTGCTTGAAAGTTGCTTCCATGGCGCATCCTCGTGGTCAGCTGCCTCATTTGAGTCAGCTTCCCTTTTCATTGTTGCCAAGGTGCTGCACATATGATGCCTGCTTGTTTTGGCAGACTGCAGACATACATAGAAAAATGGCCTTGCTGGGTCTGTTACTGTGTTCTGCATGCTGCCTGAAACTCAAACAGCTGCACATAGAAGAGTTTGTTCAAATAAAAAACATTGTAAATGGGCGGCCCTAGAGGCTTGTTTGCATTTGAATGCAATACTCAAAATAGTTAGCCCTTCAAGGCAACAACAAACAAACAACAAAATTCAAGCCCCTTGGGCAACCACCAAAAAGGTGCTAAAACAAAGATGTGCAAATGTTTCTTGACAAAGCAAGCGCACTTTTCAGCAGGCTCTTGGCACATGCAGGTGCAAGAGGTCAAGATACCTTTGCCTTTTTGGCATTGGGCTCACTGGTTGGAGGCTCCAGTACAGCCACTGAAGACTTACACAGCACAGTCTCTGCTTTGATGGGCTCTTGATTTTCGAGCACAGGAATCTTGAGGTGTTTGTAGTCCACCCAACCAAAGGTCATGTTGATGGCTTCCTCATCATCTGATGCCTTGACCCAGAAGAATGGGCATAGAATCCCCTTGTCACGCTCAGGCTCTTTGAAATTGCTCAGGGCCTTGTATGGCTGCACAGTGTATGGCTTGTTTTCCCACCACACCAAAACTGCCTTTCCCTTCTCCAAGACCTTCTTTTCATCAAGTGGTGCCACTGGACTACAAGTTCCCAAGGGATATAGTTTCAGCTCCTTCTTTTTTCACTTTCTTCAGCAGCACACAGTTGGTGGGATGACAGGTGAACCCCAATAGGTTCTCATCTGCCTTGTTCTGGTGGAATGCTTCCATCAACAAAGAGTTCACTGACATCCTGTCAGCTTCAGCCTGCACCATGGCTGAATTTTGTGGCAGCCTTTCTTTGCAAAGGCTGGTGGGGAGAAGCTGAGTCATTTCCTTTTTTGTAATCTTCCATCCTCTCAAGGATGAGAGGTCTTCACAATGCTGGACAGCAGGCCCAAATATTGGTAGATGCTCAAACTTGGCACCACTGCCATCAATGCTCTTCAGCAAAAAGATCTGGTCAGGATGGTCAGGGTGGCAATACCTGCGCACACTTGTTTGGGTCTGCAAAAAATCAAAAGCTGTAGGTGTTCCTTTACACAAGAAGAACACAAAAAACATGTCAAGAGTGGAAAACAAAATGAAACCAAAGTGCCTGTGGCCAACCAATATGTGCTGGTTCTGGAGTAATGCAAGGTCTTCTGCAGAACAGCTGACCAGATCCTTCACAGGCTGGTCTGGTGAAGCAGTGGTAGAGGAAGCAGCTGCAGCTGATTGCACTGGTTGCTTTGGGTTTGTGAGCTCCTGCTGGAAAAGCTCCACAATTTTGGAACAAGACTCGAAAGTATCTTGCTTTGCAAGCCTTTCCTTTCCAAGGATGTGGATCACCATCCTCACACATGCTTGCCCAAAGCACTGGTATCCCCACTTGATGTCACTTGTTCCCTGGGCCTGTGCCCAAAGGTCAGTCAGAACTTCATCAAGCCTTCTTGTGGATGTCTTGGATTTCAATTTGTCAAAGTCGCTCTTGAACAGCAACTTGGAGATGCCATCCTGTGATTTCTTTGATGTCAAAATGCAAGCTGCTAAAGCCACCCTTGTCATGACCATGGCCTGTCCAGGAAGGCGAAAATCATAATGTGCCAGGAGGTTCATCATTTCTTCACCAATCAAAAGGCTATGGCCTGCTGTCTTGCCTCAGGTGGTGAATGCTTTAATGAAACCAGCCAGGTGTATCCTCTTAACAAAAGCTGAAGAAGGTGCAACAAACCTCAGATGTGCTTTTTTAACAAACCTGAAAAAGATTGAGCAAACCTCACAGTGCATGCTGTGGTGCAGAGATGATCCAAGCACTGGAGCAAAGGAAATTTCTTGCCTCCTGAGAACATCCTGCAGAAGTAGGCAACATCCCCCAAATACTTTTTGCAACTTGGGGCTGCATGTTGAGCTGCCAGAACGGCATCATCAAGCTTCAAGCCTTCTTCATACAAGGCAGCCAGCTGCAGCATGCATTCAAGTTCATTGCTGGCAATTTGGTTTGTATTGTGGCTGTTCATGGCCATGGATGCGAAGCCAGGCAGAGTTGGCCAAATCTGTTCAGCTTCATGGCTGATCACCTGCCACTGCCAACCTTCAGTGAGCAAAGGTTTCATGTCAACGCTCAGAACCATCTGGGAGCCATCTGGCTTCTTGCATCCCTGCTCCATGGCTTTTGCCCATTGTACAAAATGGGAATTTGCTAAAGTCAGGAACCTTTCATCGCCTCGAACTGAAGCAAGAAGGCCACCTGCTTCATCCACCATTCTTTTGTTTGCACCAAGTTGACTATCCTTTTTGGCAACATCTCGAGATATTTCTATAGCCAGGGAGTTTGGTGGGAGAAGGTCAGCCTTCAGCCCTGAGTCAAGGATCTCTGCTCCCTTGCGGTGGGCATTGAAAGGGTTTATGAGGCTTCTTCCCCTGTTCTCAGGGTGGCACAGCATGGATGAGGGGCAAATGTTGGCCTTGTAGACCAATCCAACACCTTCTAGGATGCTCAGCACCTTCTGGAGCCTGGTGTTGATCCCTGCAGGGCATGAAGGGCTCAAAAGGTTTTCCACTTCTTTTACCACCTCTGGAGGAACAGCCATGGCCATGGCTAAAGCAATGCTGCTGCGCTTATTGGACAGTTTAACTTAAAGCACATTGTTGCTGAACAAAATAAGAAAAGCAACTAGCATGTAGTGCCATGCTTGCAAAACATGATGTTTGCATCCAGCCCAAGAAGAGAGGGCTGGAGGGAAAAACCATTTGAGCCCAGTCAGCTCTGCATTAAAAACATTGAAAAGAAAATCTACTAACAAAACTGAAACCAATGTGGCTGAAGAAAGGCTGACAAAATTAAAGCCCATGTGGCTGAGTGAAAGCTGAAAATGAAAGCCAATGTGGCTGCAGGGAAAAAACAAGGTGAACCCTGTCAAGCGCATGGCAAAGGCACATTTTTCACTGGCCTAAGCTGCCAAAGGTCTGCAGGGTTCTTCAACCCTTGGCAAATCTGCCTGACCTCTTGTAAGCCCTTTTGCTCACATCCTTGCTGGAGCAATCAGCTTGCAAATAGTCAAAGACTGCAGCTAGCTGATCCTCTTGGATCTTCACCATAAGGTCACCTGATGTGGCCCGCTTCCCAGGGCACGAGATCTGTACAGTCACAGACCCAACCTGTACATCCACTACTTGTTCAGCTCTCTTCTTTTTGTCTTGTGCATCATTCTCATCAGTGTTGGCACTGATAAGCTGCTTGTTTCTCTGCTTCTTCAATTCAGCCAAATGATGGCTGTTGGCCAATGAAAAGGCCTTGTTGCAGCGCTTGCATACCAGCTTTGCAATCAAAGGGGAGCTTCCTTGGACTTTCAAAAAGCTGTCACCATTCAGATCCTGCATGTGGTGTTGGAAAGGTGTGAATCAGTAAGCACAAGTAGGAGGCTATGTTGAACACACCCAAAATTGTGTTTTCTTGTTGCAAAGAAAGTACACGCACAAAACCCACATGCTTTGGGCAAGCATATGTCCTTCACAACCAT